CCTTCCCCATTCCCCCTTTTTTTTTTTTTTTTTTTTTTTTTTTTGTTAATTATCTTCTTTGAAACGTGGAATAGTTACTTGTTTTTAATGGATGTATTGAAATTGAATTAGCTTCCGGAGCCACTTACTGGAAAGCTTTGGACATTGGAAGATTTTGAATCATATCCAGCTTTACTGGTAGGATGACACTTATTCTTCATTATTTATGTTTTTTTTTTTTTTTCAACTTTGTTTGTTTTGCATAGTTCACTAATTGTTCAATTTTCTTATGTTACGTTTGGAGCCTTGAGTATATAATTGGAAAGAGTTCATTTGGCTGCTAATTGTCAAAGTGGTAGCATTTCCATGCAAGTTTTATATTCGTACAGTAATTCATTATAGTAGATATTGCATAATACCAGCTAGTAATTATGAGATTAATTATAGTAGATATTGCAGAATACCAGCTGCCAATTTTTCCAAAGTGGTAGCATTTCCATGCAAGTTTTATATTTCCTGTCTGATTAATTATGAGATTCTGATGTCTTCATTTATATAAGCTATTTAGTTCCTGTCGCATAACCGCCGAAAATTGAGAGAAACCGTTTTGTGGCTAAGTTTTATGAAATGTTCTGGTGGTTTTCCTTATGAATTGTGACGCATAAAGCATGAGTGTTGTGGAAATTCTAAGTATGACCTTTGTCTAGTTGCTTAGTGACAATGTGATGTATTTCCCTGCTCAGTTGTGAAAATTCTTGTTTCGCCTCCCTCTTTTTTGTATTCATGCAGGTTATGTTTATATGCAACCACTGTCCATTCGTTAAGCACCTTCAAAAAGACATTGTAAAGCTTACAAAGTTCTATATGAAGGTAGCCAAAACAATTGCCCTGGAAGAAATATATTTCTTTCTTCAGTAGCAGGTTGAACTTGCATAAGTGAAATCCATTATAAGAATATTCCCTCCTCTTTATACAGAAAGGACTTGCTGTCATTGCTATATCTTCAAATTCTGTAGCCACGCACCCCCAGGTTCTACTAACTTCATATCCTGGAATAAAGCTACATTGAAAGTGTTGAATGAATTGTGCAACTTGGAATTGTGCCTCACAGGATGGTCCAGAATTCATGGCAGAAGATGCTAAATTGTTTGACTATCCTTTCCCATACCTATATGATGAGGTATGCTTTAGTAAATCTTAACTTGTTTTGTTTATTCACATGTTTTATTAGATGTGCTGATGGGTAGGTAGCTATGCATATCTAATTGTATATTTATTATCTGATCAGTGATGAAAATCATCCTTTTATGGTCTCCTTTTGTTTGCAGTAACATTGCATCGATCTTTTTTGCATGTACTGTGGGTGTTGATACTAGTATGATGAGACTTCTGTAATCTAATATAGAAAATCATGTTAAACAGTTTTCCAAACTCTATCATTAAAACTCAAAATCCATAAGAATCACAGAAAAAGAGGTCAATAATAGTAATTGTTTCTCCTTAATAAAACATGTCAATATAGAGGTATAAAATCTTACATGAAAAGGAGAGGGGGCGGGGGAAGCTGTAGGCTTTGACTTCTTAGGTGGCAGTCAAACATTGGTTCATTATTGAATTATTGAATTGGCAACTAATGCGGTATGATTGTCAGGATTATAAATAGATATGGAATATCTATAAAATTTATTATTATCCCTATGTTCATTTCAAAATGGTTTATAAGTTCTGCATTTTCCAAACCACAATAACATATTTATCCTGAAACTGGAAGCTCTTTTCTGATAGCAATAACAAATGGAATTGAATCTTTGCAGCAGATAACTTTTTTGGCTGATGGGATTAATTGAAATCGACCAACAAGAAATGATGTTATTTCTGTCTGCAATTTGGTAAAACACTGATATTTGATTTTTTTTATTTTTATTTTTATGCAGTCACAGAATGTTGCGCGGGATTTTGGAGCTGTTTGTACTCCAGAGTTTTACCTTTTCAAAAAGGTAATTACAACCGACATAGTTCGGTGTATTGCACATTGATCAGTGTGACTTTGATTTGGGATTAAAATAAACCCTCAAATGTCAGTGAATATCATATTTCTATCAATTAATAACAGGATGGTCGAAGGCCATTTGAGCTTGTTTATCATGGTCAGTTTGATGATTCACGGCCAAGAAATAATGTACCAGTCACTGGAAGGTTGGTTTCTTATGTTGAACTAGATAGAGCATTGAACAATTATTTGAAAATTTTAATTTCCTGACAGTAGTACTGTTAGGAACCAAGAATTAGGAAAGAGAAAGAAAAGAAAGATTTTATTGAATATGTTTGAAAAGAACAAAAAATAGGAGAGAAATATCTCCTCCAAGGGTTTCCCCTTCACAAAGGATTTCTCCTTTCACAAAGAGCTAATGCTCAATTTACAAATGTGAACAAATCTGAATCCTCCCCTCTACCAAGTAACCTCCTATTTATAGATGTGATGGGCCTAGCCCATGATATCTTTCTAACTAATAACTATTCTAATTCCCTTTATTATATATCCTAACAAGTACCCATTTGATTTTCTATATAAAGAGACTTGAGCTTGGCAATAGATCGTGTTCTTAGTGGCCAAGAGGTACCATCAGAGCAAAAAGCTAGGTACTTTGTACATATTCTTCTCCTTTAAATTGTTTGAGAATCTTTCAAGTTTAGATCTCAGTTATATTCACATGTTTAAGGTCATTGTTTTTCTATTTGTTTGAAGTGTTGGATGCAGCATAAAGTGGCACCCAAGGAAGGAGTTTTGATCGATAAGCTGTAATTATCTTGTTCAAAATATGTTAATCAACGAGTTAATGTTTCTTTTTCAGGTTTTCTATGTTTAGGTTAATGTCACTAGCCATGTTAGAATCTTACACCTGTTTATAATTTTCTTTCCATTCAATGTTCCTGTTTACCTAGAATTTCGTAAGTGTGACTTGCAAGGAAGTGTTGTTATTTGTGTTTCTTATAGTTGCTGGCATGTCACTAAGTTTGCATCCCACATGTGACATTTCTGTTTAGTGAAATCTCAATCTTGAATTAAAAACCAAGAGAGAGAGAGATTTAAACTAATATAGAAAGGGGGACATGAATCTTTTAGTTGGTATAACTAGAAGTTATAATTTCTTCTAACTAAACTTACGTATTTTAAGGGTGTACTTTAAGAGTAAAGTACTACTTCTAGTGGTAACTTTATGCCTAAAACGAGAATTAAATTTTTAATCTTTAACTAAAGAGATTAAATCTCGAATCACTTGTGTAAACAACTTTCGGTTACATGAGATTTTGATAGTGTGGATTTTCACTTGAGAAAGTTCCGGTGAAAATCTCATCAGAGAGAATTCATGTACCTAGCTGTATATTAATCACAAATTTCCTTTCAATATATTGATATAGCATTCATTCTGTTCTTTGTTTCTTATATTGCAGTTGTAATAACAATGGAATTTGTTTTGCAGTACAATCCTTTGGGAAATATAATCAAACTTATTATATTTCCTTTTCTGATAAACTACTTGTGATATTTTCTAGTATGTGGAATTTGATATTGATTATTCTCATATTTGGGTAATTTTTTTATTAATAGACAATATAAAAATCTTTAACATTAATAAAATATGAAAATAAAACTCTAAAAATATAAATACAATACAAGATTAAATCACACTAACATCCTCTCATGTTTGTTGCCTCTCCCGCAACCCCTCTAGTTTTTTTGTATTACACTATTTTGGTATATGGCAAACAAATAGCTCGGGTTATGTACTTCTCTGTAAACACATAATTGAAAAATGATGATGGGGGGTCCGTGTGATTCGTCTCATAATTGATATTTTCAAGTTCCCAGCTTGCTAAAGACCATTATGACATGGTCAAGTTCTTTCAACGTAAATGGCCTAATCATTTTAATATGGCGAAACAAGTAACTTTAAAGTACGAAGCTAGGGACGATGGACCCCAAAAATGTACCAATATATTCTGCTCCACCTGTTCTTTTTAGAATAACTTCCCTCTCACTAATATTGGTTACCCTATTTTTGCTGTTCAAGCGTTATATATTTCCCACCTTTGCTGGAAAAAACTTTCTTTACCAGTAATTTTCAAACTTTTACCTTTATTACTCAAGGTACCGATTAGATAAGCTTTTTCATAAAATTAAAACATAAAAAAAATATATTGAGCTTCCCCATTTTGGGGAATTGAAATAAAGAGTTTTTATAAAAATTAACAGCAGAAGTTAATATAATTTAACTCATTTTATCTTATATTTTTCTCTTGTGAAAAATTTATCCAAACACAACGTTAATACTGAAGGTTTTAAACCAGAAAGTTTAGGCTTCTAGGTCTTTTGCTCAACTTTCCTCGGGAATTCTCTGGATCCAGATTTAAAAGGAGCAAAAGGTATGCTATTTCAACAAGGCATTCAAAAATGATTCGTTGATTATATATTTTTTACCCACTATTCTTGCACCACACGTGTATGGACGTATCAATGTGCATGACTCGGGACAGTTTTCCCCACTAACTTTCTTTTAATATACATATATTATATTATATATAATATATGTTTTAAAAAATTAAATTAAATTAAAATTTGATAATTAAAAACTAACAAATGTACCGTTAAATTTATGTCCTACATATCTCATTCCAAAATATACCTTTAAATTATAAATTTTATATTAGACATTAAAAATATGATGATATTATATAAATAAATTAGACTCAATTTTTATAAAACTTAACATTTACTATAGTCTTAGTGCTAAATATACAAAGTAAGCATTTAAATAGACCAAACTTTTATGTAAGTTAGAGATGTTAATAAATACTTATGACATACAAACAAGTTAGATTTAGACTATATATTTTTAATGAAGGTTAGACCAAATTTAAAAAAACCTTGCTTGACCTAACCTATTTTCATTCTAGTTGTAGGGGCAAATATGAAACTCGTATGCTTTGCTTGGGGGAGGGAGAAGGATTGGAGGAAGCGGAAGAAAATAGGTGATTATTGATTTGTTAGGAAATAGATTGAAATTTGTACTTGTTTAATAGAGTGGAATTAGGTGAAAAATAGAGAGAAATCAGTATTTTAAAATTGTATTTTATATAGTTAGATTTTTATGTAACAATAAATTATTTAGACAATTACATTTTCACCTTTTATGTAATACTTGAGCCTTTTTCTTTCTTTTCTTCTTCCCACTACCTTCATTCTTCTAAACTTCTTTATTTTCCTTATCTTTCACAAGGCTGAAGAGTGGGGCAAGGGGGAGGAGAGTGAAGTTGCTGGCTTATTCTTTTTCTTCTTCTTCTTGTTCTTCAGAGTTTCTCATTCTTCTTCTCTATCCGTGGTAGCTTGGAGTTGATCTTGTTTCTTCTCCTCATTTTCTTCCTTTACGAATCTCGAAACCTCGGAGTTTACGGATTCAAGGTTAGGGAAGCTCCATTTCCTTGTTTTCCTTGAATTGGTTGAGTCTTTGGGTGTGGGTTGGATTCTAGTGGCTGAAGGTTGGAAATGGGTATTAAATGAAAGTAGAAAATTGATGATTTGAGATGATTTTGTTGTTGCATGTGGAGGATTTTAGCTATTTTGGATGTGTATTGTTGCTATAATTGTTGAAACACTGGTTGCATGGGTTGGGAAAAGTTGAAAATACAAGATTTGAGGAAAAATTGAAGTGGGATTTTCTTTTCGAATTTTTTTGGAAGAGTCACGGACGTGACTGCTGAGTCACAGTGGCCATGATCTCCTCGGGCTTCATAATATTGCTAAGATAGAGTGAGTCACAGGTGTGACTGGTGAGTCACGGGTGTGATTGACTTTGTTTGAGAATTTTCTTCTTGAATTCCTTACTTTTAAAGGTTAAAATGTATATTAAAGTTATTCAAGTTGTAAATTCAAGTTGATTATATGTTGTAAGTTGATTTTTAGTTGTGAAGTTGAAAAACTATATGATAGTTGTTTTAGAGTTATAAGTTGTTATGTTGTTAAAGTTGTTTATAAGTTGTAAAGTTGTATTGTGATGTATGTGAAAAAGTTGCAAGTTGCCTATTGTTGACAAGTGGATTATATGATGCCTATAGTTGCTCAAGTAGTCTATTCAAGTTGATGTTATGTTGTCTATTGTTGTAAAGTTGTACCAAGATGACTATTGTTGTAAAGTTGGGGATATATGGCTAAGACATATGTCCTATGTTAAGATACATAGTATTAAGGTGATAAGTTAAAAGTTGTTTTTAAAGTTGAATCCCTTAGTACTGTGTGAGTGGCATGAAAGTAGTTGATCCATGTCATGGTTGAATGATCAATTTGAGTAAGGTATCTAATTAGAGATATAGTCTTTGACTAGGTACTGGAGGGTGCGCCGTACTTGGAGGGTAGTGGGTGGGCTAACTCCATATGTGGATTGGTGATGCAAGCCAAAGCCGTGGTAAGCCCACACTCAAACCCTTCTGCCCTGATAGTAGTACTGGACCTCTAAGTCTGAGTGGCACACCTAAGCAATCGCCTATTATTGTCTACACCTGGTTCTCTTAGAGTTCCTAACGATGCCTTATACCTGACCTAGTTGAGATAGTTTAAACGTTGGATTCGGTAGGGTTTATGCCACCTAGACTACTCAATCTCAGTTGTTGGAGATCTCGTAATTGTATATGTGTGACAACACATTAGTTGATGTTGCCTATGTTGTTGCATTTAAGTTGTATTTCCTGTTGGATGTGTTGAAAATGTTGTTAGTAATAGTTGATGTTGTATAGCTATTGTTGTATGTGTTGTTGTCGCTTCAAGTTGAAAGATAAAAGATGAATGACTTATTCTATTGGTGTTTATTATATGTTGATGCTATTTGATGATGATTATTGCTATGAGCTTACCCTAGCATGTTTCCCTTATGGTTGGGACTGCGATGACCATGCCTTTGTATGAGAGAAGATCAGGTTTAAGTGATGTTGTGGCGGGAAAGCGGACTTTTGGTCGAGACACAATTGAAGATTTTTTGGTCGAGACATAGTTGAGGAACAAATCATGTTTAGTCGTTGTTTCTCATCATGTACACAACTGTTTAATGGAGATGTTTTATTTTTATGCATTATGTATGGTATGGAAAATGTATTATTATGTTTCCCCCTAACACTATAGATTGTGTGAGACCTGACGGGTTGTTACATTTTACTAATTATTTTCCAATATACATTTAGATTATGGTGTATGGGTAATCTTGTCAATGAATTTTTTTTTTATGGAAAATTCCACCCAAATTCACCTATAGGAGATTGAAATTAAATCCACATGGACCTCACCACAATATCCTTTCAAACCAACTTAAATATTCTCCTCCAAACACATGCTTTTTTTTTATTTTTTTATTTTTTGATAATCGATCCCTGAGAAGAAAAGAAAGATACTAGAATAATGTCAATAAAAATACTCAACATTTTTTAAACAACGAAATGGTTACAAAGTCTTACAAGTGCAAACGAAGAGTTAAGAGAAAAGAACACTATTTTTATAATGGTTCATCTCAACCACCGAGACTACGTCCAATTCTTGATTAACTCAATCAAGTTCCATTATCTTTTACAAATATACAAGTATTCTTTTACAAGTCATTTTTGGCTTAAATTTTCTTTAATTTGTCTCTTCAAGCAACTACAAAAGTATTTTTTGAACACAAAGTTTCTCCAGACTTCAACAACCAAATATTTTTTTTTACAGTTAAGTCTCTTCAATCTCAAAACAATAATACAAAGTTAAAGTTTGAAAATCACTTTATTGTTTTGTCTTACTATCAAAACGTGATACACTCAATTAAATACAAAGTTTTTAACAAAAAGAATGCATATAAATTTTACATTTGTTGTTCTCCATTTTTTTTAACCTTCAAGTTTCTTTATCTAAGTTTTTTATGAAGATGACCATCATAAATCCTTGAGCCTTTCTCATAGGTTTGATTCATCTGTTTTCATTTTTGTTCCTTGTGGAAGGAAGTGTTTGTTTGGTGCATTAAATGTGTTTAATAAATGCGTTTCACCAAATT